AAAGTTTAAAAGTTAAAAGTTGTTAAAGGTGTATGTTTGGGGCGCGGCGCTGTACGGGTGGGAAATATGGACATTGGGCGCGGCAGAAAAGAGGACTGTGGACGTCAATAAGAAATAGGCGAGATAGGTTAATAGGACACCTTCTCAGGCATGAAGGTCTAGTCAGAAAATAGAGGCAGAAACGAGAATTAGGAGGGGTAGAGGTAGAGTAGATTACTGTTGGCAAATAGTGAAGGATGTGGGTTGTTCTAATTTTAGAGCTAATTAGCTCAGGATAGGAAAACGTAGAGGTGCATATCCAACCAGTCTTAGGACTGACGACCTTATGATGATGATGACCATGTTTTATTTTAGAAAAAGGGGCAATATGTTTGATATTAACTTGGGGTAGGTATAAAAACGTATTAATAATTAGTAAATGTATTTTATTCTAAAGTGTGCGCTGCTTGTATGTGCGAAAGTTTTGATCTCGAAGTTTCAATGTTTATGTTTTGTTGTTTTAATATGAAATATTCTCAATTTTTACCCACTACACACTACCTCAAATTAATGAGGAAAAATTGTTGCTGTTGTCATACCCCCGCCGGGAATCGAACCCGGGCTCTTTGGCTTTACACGCCAATGCTCTGACCACTAAGCTACGAGAGATGACAACAGCAAGAACGACAAACCGTACTTATTAGGTCACAGATCTGTCGAACTAATGTAACTATATACTGAATATAAATATACATACAATGTAGAAATCTTCCCGAAGTGAGTTTGTTTTAATATGAAATATTCTCAATTTTTACCCACTACACATTACCTCAAATTAATGAGGAAAAATTGTTNCGGGGCGGAAAAAAAAGGTTAGAAGCGTTCGAAATGTGGTGTTACCGGCGAATGATGAGGATACCGTGGATAGAGAAGGTTAGAAATGAAGAGGTATTAGAAACAATAGAAGAATGGAGGACTGTATGGAAGTCAATAAAACATAAGCGTACATACATAGCATAACTACTTGTCAGGCATGAAGGTCTAGTCAGAGACATATTTGAGGCAGAAACTAAAGTTAAGAGGAGTAGAGATAACTGTTACCTCAGGATAGGATAGAGTGCATGTGCGTGTCCAACCAGTCTTTGTACTGACGACCTTATGATGATAATGATGAATTGTAATATTGTGGCGAATTATTCCATACTTCCTCCCTTTACGCCGCCTCTATGAATAGTTTGGCCGGTATTTCGGGAACCATTCTAGAATTCTTTGAACGTAAGGGAATGAAACAAATAGACATGTGTTACGTATAGGCATTTATGTGATAATCAATATATTGATTTCCGACGGCTCTTGAGTATGCCTTTAGGCAGGGACCAACCTATGATTCGCAAATTTTGTACTAAAGATGCGGAGGGTAATAATAAATCATGCCCTGAGTGAAGCATATTTGTCTACTTAATAANACAACTGTAGGGATAGATATACAGGGGCAAAATATTAGTATGGTTAGATTTGCAGATGGTATAGCAATATCAGCATCTAGCAAGGAGGAAGTAGAGTTAGCTTTAAATAAAATGGAAGAGGTGTTGACAAAACAGTATTGTGTGAAAATAAATAAAAATAAAACAAAAATATTAGTATACAAGCGAAGAAAATGTAGGGAAAGAGCGAATATAAAGATAGGAGACGAAAGATTAAAAGAAGTGGCTGATTTTAAGTATCTAGGGAGTCAGATAAGTCAGGACGGAAGGAGTAGTAGGGATAACGCAGGGTCGGGTCGCCTTCAATAAAAGAAGTCACTTCTATGCTGGCGAACGATTAATTTAGAGATTCGAAAAAGATTGTTAAAGATGTATGTTTGGAGCGCGGTGCTGTACGGGTGCGAAACATGGACGGTGGGCGCGGCGGAAAAGAAAAAGCTAGAAACGTTCGAAATGTGGTATTACAGAGGAATGATGAGGTTACCGTGGATAGAGAAGGTTAGGAAGAGTTATTAGAAAGAATAGATGAATAGAGGATTTTATGGAAGTCAATAAAAAATAAGCGAGATATGTTGGTAGGACTCCTTCTCAGGCATGAAGTCTAGTCTGATACATATTAGAGGTAGAAACAGAAGTTCAGAGGAGTAGAGATTACTGTTCGCAAATAGTTGAGGGGGTGGGTTGTTCTAGTTTTGAGGAAACACAATGATTAGCTCAGGATAGGAAAGAGTGGTGGTGCGCGTCTAACTAGTCTTAGGACTGATGACCTTATAATGATAATGATTAATCGTAAATATATTGATTTCCGACGGCTCTTGAGCATACCTTTAGGCAGGGACCAACCTATGATTCGCAAATTTTGTACTAAAGATGCGGAGGGTAATAATAAATCATGCCCTGAGTGAAGCATATTTGTCTACTTAATAAAAGGAGTTTCAGAATTCTCTAGAAGATTGAAGGCTGTTCTGGAGAATTTAATAATGTTATAAATAGGTCTCATATAGTGACGAGTACATAAGCACTACAAATATTATTAGGTACAGAGTATTAGAAATACCCGTTAAATAGATAAAAGTAAACAAAAAATTCGTTACACATGGACATTTTGGTCAGTCAATCATATATCAAAATGACTATACATGAATTATCCCTATGATCTACCCAATGACCGGACACCGTTGGATGCATGTATGTGGCCTAAAAGGAGTTCCAATACATACGAACACAAGCTTTTTTTTACTCTTTTTTTTAAATTTATATAAGCTTGTATTAAATATATTGATTATCATGATCCACAATCAATGAAACAAAAGTAATTTGATTGACAGTATCGTGTAGATCTTTGGATCACGAATCTGTACATTCTGACTTGTTGCTGCCGAAGTTAGTAACCTTTGTTTTGCGAAATGGATTTATTAATTTTATTACATACACNTTGTATTAAATATATTGATTATCATGTTCCACAACCAATGAAACAAAGTAATTTGATTGACAGTATCGTGTAGATCTTTGGACCACGAATCTGTACATTCTGACTTGTTGCTGCCGAAGTTAGTAACCTTTGTTTTGCGAAATGGATTTATTAATTTTATTACATACACGTGACCAGACTGAAATAACATGGTTTGTTTCATTGATACAAGGTTTATTTTTGTTTGATTTTGTAAATATTGAATTCTTAAGATCACGTAGGCAGTGCGTGTAATGTGCAATGAATTGTGGAATGAAAAAGAAAAACTAAAATCATACTTATAGATAAACATTTTTTTTTTAATTTTTGGTTTAATGTTTTGGTGTGTCTTCGAGTGGTATCTACATGTGTATTTGGCTGTCTATGTAGTAAAACCCATCAACACATCTGACAGATTTTGATGGTGTTTCTATTGTGTTTCTAAGTATATAAAGTATTACCTTAGAGTATTGTAAAGTATGTTTCAACATCATCATCATCATCTTCAGGGGTAGTGAGGTGTGCCTATTCTTGAGAAAACAGAGTGTGAAACCGGTACTAGATTCAGGGCTGGTCGGAAAATTGAATTCTTATAATTTTATGTCGTATGGATTAATGGGTTTATGATGTAACTCACAATGGAAAAACTACCATGTGCAAATTTCTATGTTTTTTAGTAAAGTTTATAAGGATGTCTCACAAAAATTATTGAACAAATATTGAATTTTGCCAATACATGTTTTTTATTCACGTGAAGCTTGTCAGGAGTGTTCTTTTTTTCGTTTTTCTACTGTTCAATCAACTTCGCAACATAGACCTAGTATTTCACTTGTTGTTTCTATTGCGCTGTTTGTACCTGACAAGAATTGTTTGTCGTACTCGTCACTGGATTGCAACATGATTAAAAAAAAACTCCTTACACGATGGGGAAGTTTGAATTTCCTAATAACTTCCCCCATAGTTACGCCACTGGCAGTTTCCATAGGATAGGATTGACTGATTGTTACCGTTTGAAACCTGCTATCTGTATTCTAGCATGTAATCCTTTTTTGCGAAGTTTAAGGGAATAAAAGTGATTGTTAAAAAATACTTTTTTCCTTATTGTTAAGTATCTATATGGAAGATAATGAAAAGCCTTGTTAGTTAAGTACTTCTCTAGCTTATTGACATCGTTTTGAAAAATCAATACTTTGGGCGCCAATTCGGATATTCCAACCCTTCTTTTGCTAAGCGGAAACGATGTACAGCGTCTTGTTTCGAATAAAATTATTATTATTGACTTATATTCTTATATTGTTGTATACGTGACCCAAAATTAAGAAGTTGATTAATTATGACTTCTTTTGTAATGCAATGTAAACATTAAGAAAAACAGATATCTAATGCAAAACATAATTTTAAAGTTTAAGGATTTGAAAATAGAAATTCGTATTGTCCGTAACACCACTAAATAAATGAAAACATAAAAAAATCGTACTATTTATGAATTTTCAAACATCTACCGTAATAATATTAAAATGTTGCTTCATTTGTGGTCGTGGGGTTGAAGGGATTAACCAAGGGCCGAAATTTCAAAAAGTTGAAATTACTCAAAAATTTAAAATTCAATTTTCAAAATGGTCTTGAGGTCATCCTGCATTAACAAATTTACTATTCCACATTTATCAAATGAGTCCTTTCATATAATTTAAACATGCATATAAGAAACATCATCAATCTGTTTAGGCATTTTTAGGCGAGGGTGCTTTTAGAGAAAGACAAATGCATGTATCAAAATAGCAGTTTAAAGTAATTTGTAAACTTTTGGTGGATAGGAAGCAGCAAATATTATATGTACCTTTGCAGTTTACCACTAGAAAAAAAAAAAGAAACTGTAATAGGTATAAGGGAAAGAATATAATTAACGTTCACTTCGTTATCATATATTTTTTGACAACGAATCACAAATAGATAAAAAATACGTCAAAACGTTATACTTTATTTTGAAATAAAATTATGTTCAAACGACATGAAACTGCTAAACTTTCCGGATTAGTTATAGCATCTTTTAGGGTGCTCTGTTATTTACTGTACATAAACATTTAATGACACAAAACTTGCAGTTTGAAACAATTACTTTATATCATGTATGTATATGCGGAACTATCATTGTTTATGTCAAATATATTTCATATTAAAATTCTACGTAATATCTATGGGTAATTTTATGTTTAATACTTAATCGAAAACGTACTTAGGTGTTTAGTGTCCTAAATGTAATATCACTTTTTTAATATTATTTATTTTTCCTTAATCAATAACTTTGGTATGGACGATACCTATAGTCTTGTTTTATGATATCGGAAGCTTTTTCTGCGACCATAAAAGCTGGTACGTTGGTGTGAGCCGTTAGGGGTAGGGGAATAACACTTAAATCCGCAACCCTCAGCCTTCTTATTCCATAAACCCTAAGGGAACTGTCCACTACAGCTTCGGGATCTTGTTTGGGACCCATTTTACATGTTGCCACCTGATGATGTAGTGTTGCTGCTAAGTGACGTAATGCACATTCCCAATACTGATCAGAATCGAACTGAAACGGTTCACATCCTGGAATAGGCGTATCCAACAATTGGGCATTATAACGTCGAAATGCTGGGGTTTTGATAATTCTTTGTATGGCCCTAATCGATGCTATAAATGTTCTCACATCTTCATTGTACGCATCTGTGAAATAGTTTCCATAAAGTTTGGGCTGAACATGAGGATTCTTGGATTTCAGCTTAATAGAACCATAAGATTTAGGATGCACCAACATGGGCCATATTTGACATGCATTTTTGTTCTCAATGGGTCTCCAAATTCTGTTGTATACTTTATCTGTAATTCTGAAAACTCTTCTTGTAATTAATCCTTGATCCGAGTGTAGTCCGCCTCCCACAAAAATCAGTTCTATGTCCGGATAAGTAGGATTAGGGTTGGTAAGGTTTAGATTTAGATACGCCAAGGCTTCTACACCTCCAAGAATGTTTATTAGACTTGGTTGATTTGAGAAGTATTTCTTGTAGGAACTGATGTCAAAAAAGCTGCCTTTAAATACTATCGACTCATTTAAGGTAATTGTCAGTCCCGGAAAGGTTAGATGGTCGTACATTTTTTGGCCCACAGGAAGATCTTTAATAACGGGTATGCCTACTTCGTTCAGATGACGCTTTGGACCGATTCCGGAAAGCATGAGCAGATGTGGCGAGTGAAATGCTCCAGCAGAAAGAATTACTTCCTTTCTGGCCTTGGCAGTGTAATATATTCCATTTCGTTCATATTTCACTCCTTCGGCTTCTAATGTAACTGGATTTATAATGATCTTTGTAACAAGGGCCTTCTTAATAATTTTCAAATTATTCCTTTCCTGTGCTGGTCGGAGGTACGCCTTTTCAGCACTACATCTTCTACTGTTCTCCAGAGTCCCTTGAACATATGATACGCCTATTTGCTGGTAACCGTTATAATCGACGTAACTGTATCCCATTTGCTGAAGAGCATCTATGAAAGCCTTTGCGGATCGGGTTCGTAATGGCACATCTTCTACCTTCACGTATCCTTCATGACCTCGGTATTGTGGATCCTGGAGTTGGATACGAGTTTCTTCTAACTTCATAAAATACGGAAGTAAATCATTGTATGACCAGCCAGGGTTGCCCATGGCTGCCCATTTGTCGTAATCTAATCGATTACCTCTGACATGTATCATGTAGTTTATCAAAGAACTTCCACCGAGGCCTTTTCCTCTAGGCCAACTCATCTTTTGATCTTGAAGGCCTAAAATATGACGATATGTTCATTACCTACTCAATCTTTGTTTTGAATGTTTTATAAATCAACGAACTCTACCAATATGAACTGCATTATATTTTTTGTACTTCATATTTTAATTTGTTTCCATATAATTATCTCCATTATTGTTACCTAAGCTCATAAACTCCTGTTTTTCCATGAGATTCTTCCAGTTGTACGGCGTAAACTGGAACGCTGGTGCAAATACGGGCATGTCGATTACTTCCACAGGTGGATAACCCGCTTCTAACAATAGAATTTTCCATTGTGCGATTTCAGAAAGTCTATTTGCAATCGCAGATCCTGCTGATCCTGCGCCAACTATGATGAAATCGAACTCTTCGCCGTTGATTGGTTTATCTGAAACATTTATCTCATGAAATAGCAATCGAAAGAAATGCGTAAAACTAGACGCATGAATATTGTACTTAATAAAGTGTATAAAGTAGAAATAAATAGAATACGTAAAAATGTTTTTGGAAATGTGAACCAAAGTAGGTACCAATATGTTTTTATAGATCATAAATCCTTTTTCATCTGAGAGAAACCTGTTTCAGAATGTGAGTGAAGTAAAATTTGAAATATGTACATCGATGATAATGTACAAATACAAAACAATAGACAAAAATGATAAGAATTGTCAAATTTGATCACTAGAATAAGCGTGTTCTATTATCGAAATGATCCTCAACGTTATAAATCATCTGAGTAAGTACAAGGAACAACAACTGATATGTAATTTATTAGTATGTACATACAAAATTGTGGCCGGAAAATGTTGCCAATGAATTTCAAAAATTTTTCTGAACCTGAACACTTTGTATAATTATAGTTTATTTAAGCANCCTTCTTAATAATTTTCAAATTATTCCTTTCCTGTGCTGGTCGGAGGTACGCCTTTTCAGCACTACATCTTCTACTGTTCTCCAGAGTCCCTTGAACATATGATACGCCTATTTGCTGGTAACCGTTATAATCGACGTAACTGTATCCCATTTGCTGAAGAGCATCTATGAAAGCCTTTGCGGATCGGGTTCGTAATGGCACATCTTCTACCTTCACGTATCCTTCATGACCTCGGTATTGTGGATCCTGGAGTTGGATGCGAGTTTCTTCTAACTTCATAAAATACGGAAGTAAATCATTGTATGACCAGCCAGGGTTACCCATGGCTGCCCATTTGTCGTAATCTAATCGATTGCCTCTGACATGTATCATGTAGTTTATCAAAGAACTCCCACCGAGACCTTTTCCTCTAGGCCAACTCATCTTTTGATCTTGAAGGCCTAAAATATGACGATATGTTCATTACCTACTCAATCTTTGTTTTGAATGTTTTATAAATCAACGAACTCTACCAATATGAACTGCATTATATTTTTTGTACTTCATATTTTAATTTGTTTCCATATAATTATCTCCATTATTGTTACCTAAGCTCATAAACTCCTGTTTTTCCATGAGATTCTTCCAGTTGTACGGCGTAAACTGGAACGCTGGTGCAAATACGGGCATGTCGATTACTTCCACAGGTGGATAACCCGCTTCTAACAATAGAATTTTCCATTGTGCGATTTCAGAAAGTCTATTTGCAATCGCAGATCCTGCTGATCCTGCGCCAACTATGATGAAATCGAACTCTTCGCCGTTGATTGGTTTATCTGAAACATTTATCTCATGAAATAGCAATCGAAAGAAATGCGTAAAACTAGACGCATGAATATTGTACTTAATAAAGTGTATAAAGTAGAAATAAATAGAATACGTAAAAATGTTTTTGGAAATGTGAACCAAAGTAGGTACCAATATGTTTTTATAGATCATAAATCCTTTTTCATCTGAGAGAAACCTGTTTCAGAATGTGAGTGAAGTAAAATTTGAAATATGTACATCGATGATAATGTACAAATACAAAACAATAGACAAAAATGATAAGAATTGTCAAATTTGATCACTAGAATAAGCGTGTTCTATTATCGAAATGATCCTCAACGTTATAAATCATCTGAGTAAGTACAAGGAACAACAACTGATATGTAATTTATTAGTATGTACATACAAAATTGTGGCCGGAAAATGTTGCCAATGAATTTCAAAAATTTTTCTGAACCTGAACACTTTGTATAATTATAGTTTATTTAAGCACCGAATTAAATAGTAGATGCTTAGTTCAACCATTAAGATATTACTTGGTAGTTCTAATACAAATGGTATTCAATCTATTTACTTTTATTTCCGTACGCCATTTACAATTCTATTAGTTGGACGAAAATAAGGGTGAGTCTCACCCTGCTTACAATAAGCTTTTAGACCTATGATATGGCGCCTTAGTTATCGATTTTGTCGCTACTACATCCTTAAAATACAACCACAAGTTTTATTAATACTCCCAATCGATGGTTTATCCGATACGTTAGGCATGCAGTTTCTGAAGTTTATTTGAAATACTTCTGTTTTAAATACGAATATGAAATACACTAACTAGTTTAAAAGAAGTTTAACATGTTCTATCAAGCGACAAATAATCGCATTATTTCTACTATCAAATACGACTTTAAAGATACCTATTTCTATTTTATGTTTTAAATGCTTCAAATTCTCTTATGTAAATCATAACTCCTATTTATATTGGGATAGCCTTTAACCTATTTCTATTATAAAAAAAGCAAACTACAAAAGCTTAGCTGAGTTATCTTGTCACCGTGCTTTCATAAATGGATTCCAAATATCGGATTGGTTAATAGAACTTCATCCAAGTCACAAACATTCAGTTAGTTACTTTTTACGGAGTGGTTCTGATACTATTGCCACATACAAAATTATTAATTAAGGTTATAAGGGTAATGTTACATAATATAAGTGACTTATCACCATCATCCTAAGGTCTACAGCAGAGGTAAAGTTGAACACCCATCTTCACTTTTCATATTGTCCGAATGTAAGGGTTGTTCGGAAAGTCATTTCGTTTTTCTTTGTGGAAATGAAAGACAGTTTTCGTATAATAAACAAACACTTTATTAAATTATATATTGACCGTTCTGGTCCAACACCCTTTGCCATCTCATAAAATTTTTGGTCTTTGCTGGCAAAAAACTGATCGAGGAGGTTTTCGACCTCCTCATTTGAGGTGAAGGTTTTACCGTCTAAAAAATTTTGGAGTGACCGGAACAAGTAATAATCCGATGGTGCCAGGTCTGGAGAATATGGTGGGTGTAGCATTGTATTCCATTCAAGCTGTAATAGCTTTTGGCGAGTGACCAAACTTGTGTGAGGTCTCGCGTTGTCTTGGTGAAACACTACACCTTTCCTGTTGATTAGTTCTGACCTTTTCTGTTGAAGTGCATCATTCAGTTTGTCCAGCTGATGACAGTAGACTTCCGAATTAATCGTTGTGTTATCCGGTAAAAGCTCAAAAAAAACGATTCCTTTAAAATCCCACCAAACAGACAGCATCACCTTTTTTTGGTGAATATCGGCTTTGGAAATGGTTTGAGCCGGTTCATCTTTTTTGCTCCATGACCTCTTGCGTTTGACGTTGTTGTATACAACCCATTTTTCGTCCCCAGTGATGATGCGCTTCAAAAACGGATCATTTTCGTGACGTTTGAGAAGCGAATCGCAGACGTCAATGCGGCGACACAGATTTCTCTCTGTGAGAACATGGGGAACCCATACATCGAGCTTCGAGGATAATCCCAGGCCTTTCAAGTGGTCATAAACTGTTGAATTTGATAAATTTAACCTCAATCCGATCTCACGTGTTGTTATTCGCCGGTTCACATCAACTAATGCCTTTATCGCGTCTTTATCAGCTTCAACCGGCCTTCCCGAACGTGGTGCATCTTCGACATCAAAATTGCCGGATCGAAATTTAGCGAACCAGTTCTGGCACTGGCGTACTGTCAACACACCTTCTCCATACACATCAGTCAATTTCTTTCTGGCTTGAACAGCATTTTTACCCTTTCTGTAGTAAAACAGTAAGATATGTCGAAAATGCTGCTTATCGCTCTCCATATTTAAAAGGGCACCAACCAAAAACTACTGCGTAGAATTAATTGGAATTTTTCACACACAAGCCTTGCTATATGAGCTCTCAAAGCGTATAAAAATTATACGGCTTAAATGTGAAGTTGGGTGCAAAAGAATACAATTAAATCCTCTCTGTCGGAAAAAAACGAAATGACTTTCCGAACAACCCTATAGTAGGAGTTTTACTGGTTTTCGTTAATGACGAAGTTTTATTGTTTTATTATTATTTTGCATCGTTAATAACTGACACCTGTTTTTTGTTTACTGTGTATTTTAACATTCTAAAATTGACTAACGATTACTTAGCGTTTTGGTGGTAATTTATCTGCGAGTTTCAAAGTTAAATACGTTTTTTACACTATCATAAAACTTCTGAAGCAGATATTAGATAGTATAGTAAAATAAATGTAGTAAATACATAACAGTTATGTTCCATGATGTCGCTTTTTTTCTTCAACATTTTATGGTCCCTGTGTCCACATGATTTACTTTTTTTTTATCTATTTTACAAACAATACGTATAATTAGCATTTTTAATTAAAAATGAAAGTTACTTTCCATAAAAAATGTTAATGATTCATTCCTACAAATTACCCATTACGTTATAATTAGAAAACCAATTAGCTAATTACTGCTATCTACCTATTTGCAAGAATTTTTTTGACAACAATTACAATTATGTTATCAATGGTAAGTTAGTGTCTTTTTAATTATTATAGTCTAATGTATTACTGGCGAATTGTTTAGACATCAACAAATCTATTGATTACTTGTAATAACATTATGTTGCCAATATTGTGCTGTAGATTTTCATTTTATTGGCCGGAAAGGCATAATGAACTAAATTTAATATGAAATGTCTATTCGCGAAATTATGGTAATGACGAATTAAGTTTAAATAGAACATTTGAAATATTTTCTTCGAGGTCCGCCAATTGTATGTATGTAGCTATCTTGAAGTAAATTATGCATTTCTATACAGGGTGTTCCACCTAAGGCGGTTTCGTCCATAACTCAGTTTAAAAAAAATGTTTTTATAAAAGTGGTTTGGAATCATATGGTGTTTATGCAGAATATAAAGTAATCGATTTTTACGGGAAAACTGTTAGAGATAAATATTTAAAACCTTATATCAGTAGAAAGGGCTTTTAATTTTGCATCAAACGGCATTATTTAATATTGGTAATTCCATTAAAAAAAAAAAAAAACTTATTCGTCTTGTAAGATTGTCAAAAGTAAGTTTAGATATTTCTGGCTCTGAATCACGTACACATTTTACTCATAGTAAAAAAGATACGGTAAGTCGTGCTAAAACGAACTGTTGAATATCTCAAAATCTACTGGAGATAGGTATAGCGAACTGTTAACAAAATTGACCTAAAATTAAACAAAGAAAGCGAAAATGTAAAAATATACAGGGTGTATTTTCTGTATATTTATATACCATATGATTACAGGCACTTCTATAAAAACATTTTTTTTTTATTAAAGGTATTGACAGAGTTATAGACGAAACCGTCTTAGCAGGAACACCCTGTATAGTTAGTAATAGTTAGTAACATGATAAAATCTTCGTTTTTAAGATTTACCATATGTAATAACATTTACAATTCTTACATGTGCATGCAAGTAAAATATGAAGAAAGAGTGTTTGCAGTGAACCGATTGCAAAAACTTTCATAAGTTTTCTAGGCTACACGATATCGCTGCAGATTTTATTATGTTGTTGTTACGTTATTTATGTGCATCAGTTTGAAATTCCATCCAGTTTATGTAAATGGATGAAGTCATTCTTTTGTTAAATTAGCCCTAGAATGGATTAAATAAATTCGTATTCTTACGTAAGTAATTTGCATATATGCACTGGTACTGTTCCAATTTGGGAAAGAAAAAAAAAAAAAAAACAATAATAAAAAACAAAAAAAAAAATGTTCCATACTATCGAGAATTCTATTTAGAATTTAGGAATAGGTACAGGTATGGAAATCATAGAGAGGAATTTGGATGGCTTCAACTAGTTTTTCGTGAAAACAAATAACTCTACTAACAAAGAGACTACTTGATTATATATATGTTGAATTAACGAATGCATAGCATTACCAGAACCATTTATAATCTAAAGGGTGTTAAAGATTGTACTATGAGAAGGTAAAATCAATTTTATAGCTATCTTATTCCTAATGGCATTAACATTTAATAGGTAGAAGTTGGCATTGTGAATGAAATTAGAATATAAATTACATATTGATGAAATATTCCAACACGATGGATTCACATTATTAAGTACTAACTAACTATTAAACGTTTCCTATGCGTTAAATATTAGTTGAACTTTGAAACTTTTGAAGAAGTCGTTGGTTGCTATTGGAAAAAATGCATATAAAATCGCATTGTCACTTTTTTGTTTTGACAATATCCTAGTTTAATTAGAAAGCTATAAAAAGTGTAATTTTCTATGTCTAAAAGAAAAGTTGGCGTTAATACATTTTATTTCATTAAAACGGGTTGAGATATAAAATAAGTTAAAAAAAATAAGGTTAAAAAAATATGAATAATACACTACGTATTTAACGAGTAACAAATATTCTAGTACCATATATTACTCCAAAATTTCAAATTAAAGTGCAAAAGAACGTCGTTAAGACGCGATAACTGATAAGTAACTGAATATCAATTTTAGAGGCGAATGTAAGTTTATTTGTTTATTACGATTTCACACTTCAACTATTCATTTGATCATCATGAAATTTTGTACACACATTGTCAGAGGTAGAGAAAAGGACATAGGGTGCCTTTTATCCAGAAAAAAGTACTGTTCCCGAGGGATAGGGATTTTCTTTTCATCCCGATCGGGACTTAAGAAGAAATTTATCAAATTATTAGCGGGTACAAGCCGCGGGTAAGAGCTTCTTTAGAATAATAAAATTCCTGTTATTAAAGTTACAAACATCCTAATTTATTTAAAATTTAAAAACCTAATTCAATTTAAAAAAAATAAACATTAAGTTTTATTTTTCTAAAAAACATTCATCTTAGAAATCATCATTTGACTATTTTAAGTTCTAAAATATTTCGACTACATGAACTTAAAGGTCTCGGGTTCGATTCCCGACGAGGGTTTTTTAGCAGCAACAATTTTTCCCCTGTAACTTGAGGTAATCTTAGAGGGTTAAATATGAACTCACATTATTGGTTAAAACTTATTATATCATAATATCTAGAAAAGTATCGAAGTGTATAAAGAAACGTGTATATAGGGTGACAGGGAATTGTTCGTATTCCTCTCGCTTGAAGAAAATATCACTAATTTGGAATAATTTAACCTTTAATACTTGCGCCATTTTCGAGAAAATCGACTTTATATTTCTTGCTACAAAAATCCGAATTTTGGGAGTTGAAAATTTAAAAAAATATTTGGCTTGAATTTTTTCATGGTCTGATAGCTTAGATACTAATTGGCCAACCTTCCTAAAGCTACCACGATATTTACTATTATATCTTATATTGTATGTTAAAACATGTGTTATAATTTGAAAACCGAAATAGATTTTCTCGAAAATGATGTATTTTCCACCCTCAAGTGATAGAAGTTAAATCATTGCAAAATAGTGACAGTTTCTTTCCCCGAGAGTCATACGGGCAATTTCCTGCCACCCTGTATACGAATACTATACATATATTTTGCCGATTATGCAATGTCTACATTACCAAACTTACCATTGTAGTCAGGGTTATAAAAAAGAAATTTGGATCTTCTGCTGGTACTTCTAGTTACGTTGACATTACTTTGGCATGTCTGAGTTATTAGAATGGCGATCGTAAACAATAGACCCAGTGACCGCCACATTTCCGAACGTTGTACCTACGCAAAATGTGGATGTTCAACTCACGCGCGCATTTTGATTATTTACATTCGGATTGTAAACAATAGTGACCACTATCACATTTGAACAAAATGCGGGACGCACATGTACTTATAGTCTCAGAGAAATTGAATGGTCAAATTACGATCCCAAAACCAGTTCTTTAGTTCAACAACCCGATACTTTTTACAAAGTGTTCTTGAATTTTTGTAATTAATTATTATTACTTATACGTTTATCGGTCAAAATTAATTTATAGGCCGCATCATGTAGTATTAGCATTTCAAATTGCCCATTTCTCAAAAACGATCTATTGTATTATTTAATCAAAAAGTCACGTATGCCAAAAGCAGCCCTAGGCGAAGGGTTTGAAAGGCGTAACGGTGAAGGTCTCCATTAGTGTACTTATTTCTGCTTTGTTTAAAATTTTGGTATGTTGTGTAGTTCACTTTCTATCTATATACTGGGTGCACAATCATCGACCTTCGGAAAACTGAAAATCAGAATTAGTTGAACTAAACCTAACCTAACTTAACCCAATCCTAACCTATTCCAAGACAATTTATTTTTTGTAGGTGCAAATTGCTAGAAACAAATCAAAGTACATGGCCACTAGGTACCAACTCACTTCGTTCGTGTTGTCATTACCTACCGTTACATGTCTACTTTCTCTATTTATTAGTTATTTAACTTCCATGTAAAATAACTTCGGACTTAATCTAACGTCTTGTATGTATACAGTTAACACGATAGTACAGACCTACACTCATTAAGATATCAATTAAGAACAAAACAAAAGATTAGAGCAATTTCTATTTAAATTGAAACCGTGGGAAGGCTGAGAATTGATTCCGTACTTGACGATCGCGACTGAACCTTTTTTCTAAACCTGGGTTGCAGTGAAATGATCACAATCGCAACAATGACAATAAGGCAAAGTGGAAAAAGGGACGAATCTATAGAATCAAACAGCACTTTAAGAAGTAATATAAAACCGAAAAAATCAAGAATCCGGTTCTATGTTGAATTTCTCAAACCAAATCAAATCCTCTCCCTGAAAACGTTTTGATAAAACAGTTTATAGCCTATCAGTACTAATAATCATTTTAATAATTAATCATTGAAAAAGGTTATCAGAAAGAAGTCAAAAGTTTATCGATTGGGTACAAATAATACTGAGGAAAGATTTTTGGATTTATATGAAATGTTGAATAACCAAAAGCAGAAACAATTCATCGCCACAAATGAGACTTGGTTAGCAGAGGTCAAAAGAATCCAAAAATAGAAGGCTTTAAAGAGAGAAAAATTACTTAAAAGGATTTATGGTATGATTGTGTTAATTCAGCTGCTAAAATAGACGATTAGGTATATTAAAAGCATTTCTAAGAAATTGTTTGTCAGCGATCTCCTCTGTCTTTACCGAAACTGCAAGTTTGTTGTCGATTAAGTTTCTGCGCTATCTCATGCTTCTAAGAAGATCATGGAGTTTATGGACAGAAATTTCAAATATATGTATGCCTAAAGAGAAATATATGCCGAATAATTGTGATGCAGAGCTGATGGATTCCGCTGTTTGGAGAGAGGGGATAAAAATTAGGGTTTGGTGATGCAGAGAATTAAATATACTTATGACAGCTCTGAAAGAAGACGTATATAGGATATGGAAAGAAATTCCTTACAAATACATCAACAAATTTCCTGAACCTTGATCTAAAAGGCTAGCTATATATGATCCTGAGCCAATCTTCGCATTTCCCTAAAACTAAAACATCCTACATCTTTAACTATTTGCGAACAGTAATCTAATCTAGGTCTACCTCTACTCTTCTTAACTCCTGTTTCTGCCTTTAATATGTCTTGACTAGTCCTACATTCATGAGAAGGTGTCCTACCAACCTATCTCGCCTATTTTTTATTGACTTCCATAGAGTCCTCTGTTTTATTCTTTCTAATACTTCTTAATTTCTAACCTCCTCTATCCACGGTATCTTCATCGTATTTCGAACGCGCCGCGCTCCAAACATACACCTTTAACAATCTTTTTCGAATTTTTAAATTAATCGTTCGCGACCATAGAAGTGACTTTTTTTTATTGAAGGCCACTCGACCCTACGCTATTCTATGCTTTATATCCCTACCTACTCCTTCCGTCCTGACTTATCTATGACTTCCTAGATAATTAAAATTAGCAACTTCTTCTAAAATTTCATCTCTATAACTGCCTGTTGCTCTTTATACAAACTAAGTATCACTCTTCCATCTTTGTAACTCATTTCTACATTTTTAAGTATATTTAACATCTTGTCCCGTTGAACATTGTACCATGTATAAGAAAAATAATGGAAGACTTACTGAGTGAAATACAGGGTGCTTCAAAAAAATGTATACACACTTTGAACTTCCATAGAAAATTTATTTACCGTTCTACAAAGTTAAATTTCAGGAAAATAGAAAGCTGAAAGTCCAATGTAAATGAAACATAAATAACAAATGTTAATACTGTTCAAATTGGTGACCTACAGCATCAATACAATTCTGAGTACGAGTCACCACAGATTCTGTACATCGTATCAAAACGTGATACGTGAACCGGGATTTATGGGTAGCATCATTTGGTCGGATGAAGCCCAATTCAAACTTAATGGAACTGTCAATAGGCACAATTGTGTTTACTGGGGTGAAGAAAATCCTCACATTACAATTGAAAAAGCTGTAAATTTGCCTGGTGTAAATGTGTGGTGCGGTTTGTCTTCAAGGGGACTCATTGGACCTTTTCGATTTGAAGGCACTGTAACTGGTATTAATTACCTAACAATGCTTGCTGATTCCATATTTCCTGCCATTCGTGCATTATACGGTAATGATGATTTTTATTTTCAACAAGATGGTGCTCCGCCGCACTATCACAGGGACGTACGAGCTTACCTGGATCAAAATTTGTCGGGCCAGTGGATAGGACGCAGGGGGCCAATCGAGTTTCCAGCACGCTCTCCAGACCTTACACCACTGGATTTCTTCTTGTGGGGCACAGTAAAAGATGAGGTGTACAAACGTAAACCACGTAACCTAGACATTCTTTGGAATGAGATTCAAGCAGTGTGTAGAGAAATCTCATTGGACGTTTTGATACGATGTACAGAATCTGTGGTGACTCGTACTCAGAATTGTATTGATGCTGTAGGTCACCAATTTGAACAGTATTAACATTTGTTATTTATGTTTCATTTACATTGGACTTTCAGCTTTCTATTTTTCTGAAATTTAACTTTGTAGAACGGTAAATAAATTTTCTATGGAAGTTCAAAGTGTGTATACATTTTTTTGAAGCACCCTGTATATTTGCCAATGGTTATTTACTAAAAAAATTACATTTGTTTGAAGCACCCCTTCATTGACTTAATACTAACTAAATTCTTGTAATTTTGTTATTTAGTTCAGAAAGATATTCGAAAATGAAACTATTTAAAAATAACTTTCTATATACAGATAGGAACGGAAAATATAGGTTGATACAACTATGTACACTTGTACTGACAACAATGCAACACTAACTAAATTCAAGAGGTGCATAGAGAACTATTTATAATAAATTTTTAAGGAATTTGAACGAACCAGGAATTAATATTGGGAACAAAGACTACTAGGACTTAAAATGAGGAAGTGTCTTGTAGCAGTAGATTATATTATAAAACAACGAATTGTCCAGTACAAAAAAATGATAAACAGTAAAATTATAAATAATAAAACCATCGTGTACTATTCTATAACGCGCTTTCATGGCCAACCTTATCACTTAAGACAGTTTCGTACCTGATTAAATACGTTGTTGAATACAAAGAGTTAAAATGTAATGGTTTCTACCTTCACTTGGTAAAAGTTTAGGAAAATACTATTTCAAAAAATTAAAAAAAAATGTATCAACTTGTAGAGGTAATTTAGAATGGCATGAACCTTGCGTTGCATAAATTTCATCCGTTCATTTCTATCTTCCAAGAGAATTAATTGTTTCTCTTTACAGTTTATCTGGAGCTTTATTCTTGTCTTAATAGCGAGTCAGATGGCTAGAATCTATAGGATAATATAGTCGAGTTAATGTTTTCCATATCTACAATATGAATACGCTTCTCGGGCATTTGAAGGTCCATGTCATTCTATACTACCTATAACAAATTTTTGCCAAATAGTGCTTTCGCCAAAAAGAGTACTTTCCGGTGGTTTAAGTATCTAGTTCACAACCTCTGTAACGTCCGCATGACCTTTTTATATGTTACGCCTTAAAATTTCTGTATTTTTTTCTCTTTTTGTTTTTAATTAACTAACTAGACCGAAAGACAGCATGACCTACGCGTATCTTTGGGTATAATTAGCAAAACTTCTTAAAAGAAAAGAAGAACAATTTCTGCAGGAACAATTAAGCCGAGAGTTCCCGAACTTACCCTGATAATAGATAAAATAAATAGAGAGGTCGAAACTATAACAGGAGAATAAACAGCTAAATTGTATATGTATCAAAGAATAATTCAAATTCCAATTGGAGATGAGGGACCTCCAAAAGAAAGCAACTTGCCGAAGACATCGGCCGGATTGCGAATATTACCAAATGAATCCATTTGGGGCTTTCTCCGAATGTGAAGTGTAGAAACCAATGACTTAACTGGTTGGTTGCAAGGATAGGAATATTCGACACTTATTATATTGAGGATAAGAGAATGGTCTCAATTCAACAGAAATTAAATGCTTGACTCCGCAACTGTACCACAAGCTCAGAGTGTCTACTAAGGATTCATATCATTGAAAAACGTGCAGTTAATCATCTACAAATCCAGCATATTAGAACTTCATCCCAAGGACTCAAATGTATAGTTCAACAATCCTCTTAAAGCTCCTAGCTATTTAATTCGCTAAAGAGATCTGTCATATTAAACAAACAATAAATAAAATTAATGAATGAAAATATACAATTTTAAATCTTCTTCACAAAAAAATCAATTGTAAGAAAAAAACTCCGAGGCCCGATAAAGAAACAGCGAACAACCGTTTCCATCTAGTAGAAAACTCCTTGCGAAGGGGTTACAAAACTAATTACAAAGGTCAAGTGGCTCAAAAATTCAAGAAACAATGGATTACATAAATAATATAATTAATTCACTGAAAGGTAGTACACTCAAATAAACTCTAAACATAATTAATATGTAGGTAACTGCGAATCTTCTTTACTTTTTTAGTGCTTCAATTTGAAATTCGAAATTAGGCTTTTATAGTGTTAAATTAAACACTATTAAATAATTTATTTCCTAATTATTATTCATACCAGTGGAAATGGTGTAGATATTTTAACAGGGAAAAAACTTATGTACCGAATCGTTACGAAGCTTCTACTGATTAAGATCTTTATTACTAACATAATTATCCAATTACATATTGTGTATTAGTGAAGGTCTATATTTAATTATATTTCAATATACGTGACGTACCTATGTACCAGAATCGTCTACTTTCACATTTATTTGTGAATGTGTTTAATGAAATTGGCAACACCTTGTAAAACTTATCTATATGTATAATTGAACTACGGAAATCTATCTTTGAATATATTTACAAAATTATGATTTAGAAAATACTACAAATGGCGTAGTAAACGCCATCTGTAGCACGATGCTACATTTTAGGATTAGGTATGCTCCAACAAGGTCCACTTGTGTGGATATCTACTTGCTGAAACGAATCCCGGCGTAGCCAACCTCATCGTGATATGCACATTAGCTTAATCGAATAAAATAATTCGAAGTGGTCTGTATTATTTTAAAATTGTGATTGTCTATTGATTATTTTCGGTACCTAGGAAGTCAAATAACTTAGGCTGGAAGGAGCAGTATATATAAAACAGGATAATGCAGGATAGAGTTGCCTTTAATAAAGAGAAGTCAGTTGTATGCTTGCGAACGGTTAACTTAGAAATTCAAAAAAGATTGGTCAAAAGTATGTTTAGAGTACGGTCCTGGACGGGTAAAAATCGTGAGGATACCGTGGATAGAGAAGGTTAAAAATGAGGTGGCATTAGAAAGAGTAGGAGGGCAGAGGAGGGTGCTATGGAAGAGGAAGTGCGTGTCTAACCAGTCTTGGATGGTTGGTTATAATCATAAAAGTTGTTTTTTTCGTCAAATACTGATTTCATTAAATGTGTATATTCCTTGGTGATGTGAATGAAACCGATTAATTATTCGGTATTCGGTCAATTCGGCTGTATTTCTACTATAGGGTATTCGGTAGAATATTCGGTTGCGACCTCATATTTAGTTCATATAATTAAAAAAAAAACAACATTAATTACATCCTCATTTAGGTTAACAAGAGAAATAAGTCTTAAAATTGGGAAAATGCCAACAACAAAAAATAATGAATGTGAGAATTACATCATGAAATTAAAGAAGTTTGAGATGAAACTCCCCAGTTTCCAATTGATCTTTCCGATTTCATTTCAGTATCGACCCAAGTTTTTTGTACAATGATGGTCATAGCAAATTAGATTAGATTTTTTTCTAATGTGGGAGTAGACAATTTAAAAATAAAAAACACCGAAGTAATTTTATGATTTTAATTAATAATGAATCCATAATTATGAACCTAAATTAACTTAAAATTAATCAGTCGTTAGCTAATTGTTTCTGTGCACCTTCTCGCTGTCGACGTGCTTTACTACGGGCCCTTCGTGTGGAACACCAACCACCCTGTAGCTTAAGCTTTTCCCGTGCTGGGCCATACTTACAGAGGCTGTACCAGATGGATTAAATTGAGGACCATTACCCAGTGGTACTGATTCCGTCCTAAAGAATACACGAGTGTTAGGATTTTTAATGCAAATTAAGAAAACTACTATAAATAGAAAAGAATATGCTGGTAAATATGGAACTATCAACAATTTTCGTTTTTGAAACTTTTAAGATACACTACAACAAAGCAAAAGCTCTTGGTTAGTAATCTGTTGAAACCGTCAGACATGGATCGTGATTTCGATCTCTTTAGATCCCATCACCACGCCGTACCCACAGGTTGCGTTCATCACGCTGTCTGTAGTTGAAATTTAAAACCAGCAAGTTAATTGGTCAACTTGGGACTAGAGGTTTAAACCATTGCATACCCGAGCAGAAATGAAAAAAGGTAACCCTAGCAAACATCCGGTGGGATCAGTACGGAAGTCGCTTTACGATATCCATAATTAGCCCCTGTAAGGTAGTGAGAGAAGTTCCCTATTACGAAAATCCTTGCCTATTCGTATATGGTCTTGATCTATTAGGAGATTCCTACCTTATCGCGATGCAGTCCTGACTTGACCGCCCTATTAAAATAGTATATGGAACCCGTTCAAGTTTAAGGTCAAATTATACATTGCAAATCAAAATCCTATTACAAACCCTGTGATACCCTGATTTGCACTGTATATGTAGGTGAAACTGGTCGGACCTTACAATACGTTCCACTTAGGTTATTCTAATGAGAATTGTGTTTACATCAATCCATCTCTATTTGCCTCTTATAGATTTCTCTAGCCAGGATACTACAAAGTACATCAATCTGCCCCTTATAGATTAACCTGTTCAAAATCATACAGGGTATTCCTATCTGGGCCCTATTCTAATCGAAGCATTTGAGGCGTTACATACATGATCCGATCCGGTCATCTTCATAAGGTCATCAGTCCTAAGTCTGGACCTTCATGCCTGAAAGGGTGTCCTACCAAGCTATCTCGCCTATTTTTTTATTGACTTCCATAGAGTCCTCTGTTCTCCTATTCTTTCTAATACCTTTTCATTTCTAACCTTCTCTATCCGCGATATCCTCAACATTCGCCTGTAACTCCGCATTTCGAACGTTTCTAACCTTTTCTTTTCCGCAGCGCCCACCGTCCATGTTTCGCACCCGTACAGCGCCACGCTCAAATTGGCGATCATCTGAAAATTTTCTGTTTCAGCCCTACTAGGTTAGATGGGATATCCAATCCGATTCGTATCCCAATCGAAATCATTTTCTACTCGGTTAGTATTCGAGAGGACGCCGGTTAAATTCCGGGTCCATCTGCTCTGGTCTATGTTTTTCTGTGGTTTCCTTTGGTCACTTAGACAAAAATGCTGAGCCAATAATATTCACTATTTTGTGTTTTAATTTTGTCAGTCTCATTTTTCTCATTACTAACTCCACCCACCGACTCACGATTTTTAAAAAGATGCTGGAGCGGGTTTTTCTCCGTATTCACCGGCGTCATCCGGAAGGACTGCCCACCTACCAACATCGGTAGCTCATGGGAATAAAAAACCCAAGAGTCTACGACGGTTTGATGGGATCCAAAGTGTCTGACGATTTCTAAAGATCACTGACCAAGAACTTTTGTTCTATTGGGTATGAGTGCCTAGCACATGGGCTTATTTTGATAAGGAGATATCCTTAATCATAAAACGACTTTAACTAACTCAGAATGCTGCTTCAGTTGAATATTTTGTGGAAAATTGCCAACCACTACTTTGATTGTTGCTTTTCTACCCATTACTATTACCTTACTTGTTACCTTTGTGTTTTTCGTCGCAAATGCATGGAGATTCATTTTCGTCTCGGTTATTACAACTGTTTATACATATGTGACAATCTTATCCTGTATACCTATTTATTAATTTATTGAGAATAACTTACGCAGTTACACGATATCCCTTGTCATCAGCTTCATAGAATACCGTTCTTTTAACGAACCCGTCACTGTAAGAGTATTTTCCAGTTACTTTTAGACCTTCGCGGGTTTCTTGGCGTGACTGTGTTAAATCCTGAATTTGATCGTCGACATCATTGTTGAACTGATACCTGAAAATTTGTTAACGAATTAATTCAACATAACAAGTCACTATGTAAATGTTATTGATGATTTGATCTATAAAATATGGTCAAATTTCAGTAAGTGGAATCTTATAAAATGTATCTAATTATAGAAAATACTACAAATGGCGCAGTGAACGCCATCTGTAGCACGATGCTACATTTTAGGATTACGTATGCTCCAACAAGGTCCGTAACTAACCTCAACGTGATAGGCACGTTAACTTAATCGGATGAAATAATTCGAAGTGGTCTGTATTCTGTCGAAACTGCCAGACGCGGATCGCGATTTCGATCTTTTTGGATCTCATCAGCGCGTCGTAGGCATCTCCGACAGAACCAATCTCAACGTGATGTTGAGGTTGGTTACACCGGGATTCGTTTTCAGCAAGTAGATATCCACACAAGTGGACCTTGTTGGAGCATACGTAATCCTAAAATGTAGCATCGTGCTACAGATGGCGTTCACTGCGCCATTTGTTGTATTTTCTAAAACGCATTGTTAAGACAGCAGGTAAAAGTTGGGCGTCTGGCAGTTTCGACAGAATACAGACCACTTCGAATTATTTCATGTATCTAATTATGTTTGAGTTAGAGAAAATTCAAGTTATGGAAAATTTCTGCTTTACTTTTAAACATTTTAATTTTCCTTTCCTTGTTATCACTTTGGTAGTACTATTGTTAAACCCATTGTTAACCCTAACAATCGCACGATAAATATTGACAAACAGAAATCATTATCAATCAATATCCTATTTAGTTATTTACGTTTATGATTATCGCTGCAGCTGATTGTTCCAAAAAATATTAATGGAAATTCGAATCAAAGAAACAATTCATAATGGAAAAACCACACTTAAATCTAGAGTTACATAAATAGGGGAATTCGAGTTTGAAGAATTTAGAAGAAANTGTAGTTTTTCTCTCTATTAAACTAAATAACTAACCAAAATAGAAAGTTGTTTATTTTCTAAGACTATGCTTTGTATGACGCCCCGCTTAGTATGACGTATTTGTCATTTCCCTTCGATGTCATTATAAGCGGATTCTACTGTACTTTGAAAATATTCGAAGTTTGAATGTTCATATATTCCAATATTGAAATATCCAAATAGATAAACGTTCAAAATTTTAAATATCCAAAATTATTCAAAATTCAAATATGTAGATATTCAAAACTCGGGATAACTCAAACACCTACTTATATAAGATTAAGCTTCTGTGGCTAATATACAGTAAAATCCGCTTATAATGACATCATAGGAAAATGACAAACACGTCAAACTATGTGGGCGTCATACAAATCATAGTCTTAGAAAATAAACAACTTTCTATTTTGGTTAGTTATTTAGTTTAATAGAGAAAAACTAAAATTGTATATTTTTATTAACAGATACATTGAAGAATTTCTGTAAGTATTCAAATGCTTCTGGTTCTTATATCTACATATTACATGGTATCCATAGGTTATGATCATTAAAAACGAATTTTTATTTCCAGTAGGTCTTGAATATTAGATAATGATTGATAAAAATCAAAACCAACTTATCATGATGACTTACAACTACACTAGATTTTCTTTTTCTTGCTTGTCTATATATTTAAAATATCTAAATGATGTCTAATTGCGTTATTTCGTAAATTGGTGTTTGTTATAATAAGTGCCACAATAGATAAACTTAACGATGTGTTTTCGAAAAGAATAAACCTTCAGAAGAAAATTACGTCAATTTGGTTAATAAAAATACGTATTTCAAAGGATTTCTTTCGCCGTTTAGTCCTTAGAAAATTAGTAAATAATGTAATTAATAAAATAAGTGGTAAAGAATCGAGGAAATTATGTGTACGTAAAAGGAGTAGGCAGGGATGTAAGCTAAGCACATAGTTATTTAACGTCGTATATCTGAGTGATATAGAAAGTGAGATGAGTAAAATAAGGGAAGGGGGATGGTGACAGGGATATGAAAGAAATATGAACAGTAGTATATGCGGATGAGAGCAACAAGTTTCAAAGGCGTAGTAGAAATGGTAAGAATATTAGAAACAAAGGATTCGAACTGAACAATGAGAAAACTAAGGTGATGGAATTTGGGAAAGTTGGAGCATGAAGGGAAGGAAAAAAAGATAAGATTGAAAGGAACAATGATAGAAAGGATTAAAAAATATTCGTATTTATCACGAGAAAAAACAGTAAAGTTGAAATACACATGCATAAGTATAATTGAAGAGAAGGTTGTGGGGTTTCAGACAGATGCGACGCAGGGATGACTGGGAAAGGAGGTTGATGTTATTTAACATGGTAATAAAAAGAATAATAAGTATTTTACGGTACCGAAAGGTATAGATTTGGGCAGAAAAAAGGCAGGTAGATAATTTATACATAAAAAATATTTAAAGTGGTTGTTACATGTGCATAAATATTATACCCAGATAAATTGGAAAAGGTAGAGATAAAGTTTTAAGGAAGAGAATACAGAGGAAAAGGGGGCTAAGTATGGGTAGGAAAAGTAGATATGACTAGGAAGGAGTTAGAAAATTAAGAGAGATAACAATTGAGTAAAGAACTAAATAGAGGTGAGGACTCAAGAAAAATAAAAGAAGATCTGCAGTTAGATTAAAGATGTTGATGTGGGATCCGTGAGGCAACATTTTGAGAAACCTTTAAAGTACATGTTATTGTGTAAGCATTATTTCATGAAAATTGACTGAGGTTTGAAACAAATTTTGTGATAAATATAAAACCCAATAATGTCAATGAGAAGAAGCACATCTTACCTGGCATTTCTATTTTGTTCCAATTCTCTTTCGAATTGTAATGGATCAAGGTTGTTTTGTGGTTTACTTGCAACAAGTGTAAAAAGCAGACATATCAAAATCTGAAAAAGAATTTGTAGTTTTAGTTAAATGGTACTTTAATTTTAAACTGGAGATAGGAATTCTCCGTATATTCAAATATTTGTTCACAATTGGATTTGAATATACGAATTATCGGATATTTAAATATTTCTAAACATTTGAACAACCAAATATCCAATAAATCAAATATTTGAATATCTAAATGTAGATTGCTGGTAAATTTTCCGCATCGACTTCTTCGGATAGTCGTTTTTCCGGCAGTAAATAATTCCGGACGGGAAATTCACCAGCACGAATTTTACCGATAGGTACATATAAAACTGGGGAAATGGAGGGAACTGTTACCAACACAAAGCTTGCCGGAAAAAAAGGTCCCCGGAATTTGATTGCTGGAAAAATGACCAACCGGAAAAAGTGATCCAGAGAAATGGGCAAATATACGCTAAATATTCAATGAAATATTTAATTATTTAAACTATTTGAATGTCTGAAATGTTGATATGATATGACGATTTGAATATTCAATGTAAAAAGAATTAAGAAAAAGTGGAATTTAGGAACTAGATGCAAACTTTTGTTAAGATAATTCTTCAGGTACAGTGGAATTCGTTTATTATAACTCCGCCTTTATTGACCAACCGCTTAATATGAAGTAATTGCAGTTTTAAGTTTGGTTTTCATATTAAATTCTCAATAGGAAAGTTTGGATATAGTGACTCCGTTTAAAATGAGATATCATTTATTATAACTGATTCTCAAAAAATCATATCCGGCTATAGTGACCCAAATGATTAATAATAATATCTTCGCTCATTTTTCTGACCCCTCTTATGTATATTGATATTACAATTCATTGTTATTTTTCTATTTCTTTTAATAAATATATATAATTTGTTGTTTTTCTCTCTATTAAACTAAATAACTAACCAAAATAGAAAGTTGTTTATTTTCTAAGACTATGCTTTATATGACGTGTTTATCATTTCCCTTCCCATTATAAGCGGATTCTACTGTAAATCAACATTTCTGTTTTATCGTTTATTTAAATTTCTAAAACTTCTAAATTATATTGCAAAGA